AAAAGAAAAGATCAACAATTGCCTTTGCTCTTTTTATTATGTAGGTGAAGATGTCTGTATTTGTCCATCATGTGCTGTGTTTGTCTATGAGGGCTCTGAATTCAGTCTTGTAGAGAGATCACAGGCGTTGTCTCGAGCTGTAGGGTGCAAAACAAACTGTTAGTCCTACTAATCTTGAACTGGCTTAGTATCAATGAAAATCAGAGTGACAATGAAAAACACTTTACTTACATTGTTCAGTATTTGTTTCTGAAATAATAGGAAAAAACAAATATTCAAGAATGCCAGAGACATTCAGCTTTGCAGTCTGTATCAGAGCATCAGCTCAGCTGAATCTCTCACCTTTCTTCTTCTTGTAAACAGCAGCAAAAACAGCAGCAACGAGGACGAGAGCAACTGAAACAACCACTGCAGCAGTGATGGTGATCATCATGTCTGAGGGTTCCTCTGATCAGTCAGAAATCATGTAGTTTAAATGTAAATCACATATTGGTGAGAAGAAGACAGCATAATTTCTATGTCAAGATCTACTGATGTGATCATACATGTAACACTATACAACACTCAGATACCATGATATATTGCAGTTAAGCAGAGCAGGCACACTAAAATTAGGTGGCTGAATTTTTAACCCTTTGACAGCAGTTTTGTGTATTCAGCTCCTCAATTATAAGGCCAGAAATAAAAAGCAAGGGTTTTATTATTTAGAAACACTTGCATTTTGAAATGTAAGTTCCAGTACCACTGTCAGGATTATGGTCGAAACAGTTTTCTCTTAAGAATATTAACAGCAGCCATTCGCACTCACATTCACACCTATGAGCAAGTTAGAATCATCAATGAACCTGACCCCCCTAACTGCATGTCTTTGGACTGTAGCACCCTGATAAGGAGAAGGAGAAGTAAATGGATGAATGGATGGCTGTTAGCAGCACCAACACTGGGCACATTTTAAATCAAAGAGACAGTTATTATATACAAGTACTGATTTTTTTTCTCCAACTTTAATAGGATCTCCATGAGTTATTCCTACAGTAGCAGCTATTCTGCCTGAGATCACACAAAAACAGGACAAAACACTGGATTACAGACAATCCACAGTAACAGGAAACAAAATGAATTAAATGAGCTTTTCTCACCATTTGTATTTTTTCCTCCTCTGTTGGTTCTGATCACTGTTTCATTCAGCCTGGTGATGATGACGTCCTCACCATCAGAGAGATGAAACACACAGTCAAATCTGCTCCAGTCTTCAAGTGTGAATGATGAAACATTCAGATCAACACTCATCTGAAAGGTCCCATCATTGTTGGGGAGGATCTCTCCAGGATCCACACCTTCATGAAGCTCCTCTCCATCTTTCCTCCA